GCCTTGGCTCCTCAGTGAGCCGACACTAATTCCCCTTGATGGGCCACAGAGCCCTGCCCAGGGTGGGAACCTGCTAGATTTGAGCGTTGTGCAACAATCTTGGCAATCTGTTTATTTGTATACCTCTCAATTGTAGAAAAAAACCCAAAAATTCAAAGAGGAGCTGGATCTGGCCAGTGGGCAAAGCCAGTGCCGGATTTAAGGTAAGGTAAAGGTACCCCTGCCCGTACGGGCCAGTCTTGACAGACTCTAGGGTTGTGCACCCATCTCACTCTATAGGCCGGGGGCCAGCGCTGTCCAGAGACACTTCCGGGTCACGTGGCCAGCGTGACAATCTGCATCTGGCGAGCCAGCGCAGCACACGGAAACGCCGTTTACCTTCCCGCCAGTAAGCGGTCCCTATTTATCTACTTGCACCCGGAGGTGCTTTCAAACTGCTAGGTTGGCAGGCGCTGGGACCGAACGACGGGAGCACACCCCGCCGCGGGGATTCGAACCGCCGACCTTTCGATCGGCAAGCCCTAGGCGCTGAGGCTTTTACCCACAGCGCCACCTGCGTGCCGGATTTACATATAAGCTAAACAAGCTCTAGCTTAGGGCCCCACTCTCTTGGGGCTCCCCCCAAAAAATTTAAAGCGGAAAAAAACCTGGCTGTACATTTCCAAAATATAAGATAAAAAACAAATAAAATAAAATCTACAGCCAGCAACAGTGTTTTGTGTTGTGTAGGCTCCTATGATGTAAGTCATGGGCCCCGCCTGCTTGCCTGCTCCCTCATATATCACTGCTTTGATCATTTCTATATACAGTCATACCTTATGTTACGTCCGCTTCATGTTACATTCTTTCAGGATACATCCCGCAGCGACCCAGAAGTACCGGAAAGGGTTACTTCCAGGTTTCGCCGCTCGCGCATGCGCAGACGCGCAAAATGACATCATGTCCATGCACAGAAGCGAGGAATCGCAACCCGTGCGTGCGCAGACATGCTGCTGTGGGTTGCGCTCTTTTCATGTTGTGAACGGGCCTCCGGAACATATCCTGTTCGCAACCAGAGGTACTACTGTATAGGGTGCCTACATTCTGCATGGACTGCTATGTGCAAATGGCTTGAGATACCTATTAGGTCCACAAATGACCATATACCATATATTCAACACAAAAAAACAGTGAAAATTTGTTGTTGACAAAGGACAGCTGGGCAGATAAAGGGCCCCATTACCTTCAGGAGCTGAGGGCCACATCGAACCTAAATCCGGCCCTGGGCAAAGCTACCATCTCCTCCTTCCCACCTCTCAGGCTCCTGACATCACAGAGACCAAAATCGACCTCCCCTCCCTTGCCTGCAGGGGTCTCATAGAATGAAAGAATTATTTGAAGATGGCTATCTTATCTCCTCTCAGTCTCCTCTTTTCCAGGCTAAACATCCCCAATTCCCTCAACCGTTCCTCACAAGGCTTGGTTTCCAGACCCTTGATCATCTTGGTCGCCCTCCTCTGCCCACCTTCCAGCTTCTCAACACCCTTCTTAAACTGTGGAGACCAGAATTGGACCCAGTACTCCAGGTGTGGTCTGACCAAGACAGAATCAAGCAGAACTATGACTTTCCTTGACACTAGACTTCTGTTGATGCAGCCTAGAATGGCATTAGCTTTTTTTGCTGCAACATCACACTATTTACTCATGTTAAGCTTGTGGTCCACTAAGTCCCCTAGATCCTTTTCACATGTACAGTGGTACCTCTGGATGCGAATGGGATCCGTTCCGGAGCCCCGTTCGCATCCTGAAGTGAACTGCAGAGGGTGACAGCAGTCACGAAATGAAAAGACACCTGCTTCTTGGGAGAAAAGCAATGACAAACCTAGACAGCATCTTAAAAAGCAGAGACATCACCTTGCCAACAAAGGTCCGTATAGTTCAAGCTATGGTTTTCCCAGTAGTGATGTATGGAAGTGAAAGCTGGACCATCAAGAAGGCTGATCGCCGAGGAATGGATGCTTTTGAATTATGGTGCTGGAGGAGACTCTGGAGAGTCCCATGGACTGCAAGAAGATCCAACCTTTCCATTCTGAAGGAAATCAGCCCTGAGTGCTCACTGGAAGGACAGATCCTGAAGCTGAAGCTCCAAGACTTTGTCCACCTTAGGAGAAGAGGAGACTCCCTGGAAAAGACTCTGATGTTGGGAAAGATGGAGGGCACAAGGAGAAGGGGACGACAGAGGACGGGATGGTGGGACAGTGTTCTCCAAGCTACCAGCATGAATTTGACCAAACTGTGGGAGGCAGTGGAAGACAGGAGGGCCTGGCGTGCTCTGCTCCATGGGGTCACGAAGAGTCGGACACGACTAAATGACTGAACAACAATATTGGTTAAAGTGCTAGACTGGGACCTGGGAGACCAAGGTACACTTTGAAAAGAGGTGGGATATTAACGTAATAATAAATGATAGCAATAAAATAAATATACACCACTTAATGCCCAAATATGCTTCCAAGTGGTTTACACACTTTTAAGAACCAATTACACCAGCAAGATGTAAACAGTTCTGGGGTTTTTGTTCCAAGGCAGGAAGCCAGAGACCAGCTTTGTGTTTCATTATTCTTCAATCGTTTCATTCAAAAAATGACAGCAATGGCTACACCCAGGGCAACACATAAACGCACACAAACAAACAGACAATTGCGGCGCAATCCGAACCACGTCTATTTGGGAGCCAGCCCTATTGACTTAAATGGGGTTTGCCCCGTGGGGAAATGGAGTTAGGACTGCAGCCTTAAATCATTAAATAAAATCACATTGTCAAAAAACAACAACACAGGGAAAATGATGGAAATCATTTGCTACAGTCACGGTTTAAAGGCCTGGAACATGTCTCTAGGCTGGCAACCCATTTCCCACAGTAACCAACCAAACACCTCCAAGATGTCCTTAGACAGCCCTCACCTGGTCTTGGTACCCAGATACTGGTACCCAGAGGCACATCGGCCAACTGCCAACAGCCATGGAGGCAGCTGAAGTGTTTTAACTTGGTCTGCACCCCCTGAAATCAAACCACTCAGGGAAAGGACTTGGGGCTACGCAGGTGCCGCCACACCTGCCCCACAGCTCACATCTTATAGGGACACCAACTGTAGGGCAGGAGGCTGCACTTTGAAGAAAACAACCTCAAGATGCAAATTAGGGTTAGGCAAACTACGGCCCGGGGGCCGGATCCAGCCCAATCGCCTTCTCAATCTGGCCCACGGACGGTCCGGGAATCAGCATGTTTTTACATGAGTAGAATGTGCGCTTTTATTTAAAATGCATCTCTGGGTTATTTGTGGAGCATAGGAGTTTGTTCATTATTTTTTTCCTAAATATAGTCTGGCCCCCCACAAGGTCTGAGGGACAGTGGACTGGCCCCCTGCTGAAAAAGTTTGCTGACCTCTGCTCTAGCTGGTAGGATGACCAGAACCTCAATGGATAGACAAATCACCCACCAGCGAGAGTTTGGTATCGCCCCCCTCCCAAGCCTTGCCAAACAGGCTGCCCATCTCTGCATGTCTTCACTAAAAGTTGCAGAAGTTCCAACTCTTCCCCCCCCTAAATGCATCGGCAAGTTAGATGGAAAATAGAAGAGAAACCGAAGCTGCAGAAACTCAGCATTTTGTGCCTCAGTGCCTCTCGCCGGCCTGTCTCCTTTAGTTACCCTGCAGTGAAGTATTTGTTTTGCGTGACTAAAGCAAGTCGGTTTTAAAAAATGTTTGCTTTGCAAGCACAGACATGCGCCTGTAGCCCTGGGAACTGGGCAGAAGAAAATCCTCTCTGCACATTCCTGTCATTGTGAACCGTGGCCAGGGTTGGTACACCTGGGTAGCTATTTTAGTAGCAAGAGATCACTCTCCCAGGTATGCTGCTTGGAGGAAGGACGGGGCTCAACAGGTAAATCACCTGCTTTGCATGCAGAAGTATTCAATCCCTGGCAGCATGTCCCGGTAGGGCTTGATCAGAAACCCTGGAGAGCTGCTGCCTGCCAGTGTAGGTATAATAATAATAATAATAATAATAATAATAATAATAATAAATTATTTATACCCCGCCCATCTGGCTGAGTTTCCCCAGCCACTCTGGGCAGCTCCCAATCTAGTATTAAAAACAATACAGCGTTTAAAGGTCAGTACCAACACTTTGAATTGTGCTCGGAAACGTACTGGGAGCCAATGCAGATCTCTCAGGACCGGTGTTATGTGGTCCTGGTGGCCACTCCCAGTCACCAGTCTAGCTGCCACATTCTGGATTAATTGCAGTTTCTGGGTCACCTTCAAAGGTAGCCCCATGTAGAGCGCATTGCAGAGATAACTAGAGCATGCACCACTCTGGCAAGACAGTCCGCAGGCAGGTAGGGTCTCAGCCTGCGTACCAGATGGAGCTGATAAACAGCTGCCCTGGACACAGAATTGACCTGCGCCTTCATGGACAGCTGTAAGTCCAAAATGACTCCCAGGCTGTGCACCTGGTCCTTCAGGGGCACAGGTGCCCCATTCAGGACCAGGGAATCCTCCACACCTGCCTGCTCCCTGTCCCCCAAAAACAGTACTTCTGTCTTGTCAGGATTCAACCTCAATCTGTTAGGTAACCCTGAACTAGACGAATCGAGAGCCTGGCTCAAGACGTGCTCTTTGTTATGCTGCAAAAATAACTCAAGAGCACCGTTTCCCAGCTGTTTTCGGACCTCAGCTGTTTCCAGACTATAAGTCCCATCATCCATGACCACAGGTCCTTCCAGTTAGGGATGATGGGGGTTGTAGTCCAACAACAGCTGGGGACCCAAGTTTAGGAAACTCTGCACTGTTGCTGGGGCGGGAAGATGCCTAAAGCGAGGCCCCTGAATTTAGAGCAAAACAGTGTAAACCGAGAAGCTCTGGAACACCTTCAGACATGGATCTGAGCTCCGTCATGCTTTCTGCAATCCACTTCCTTTACTGTTGCCAGAATCCAAGCCTATCAGTGATCTGGCTTACCTGGTTCTTGGAAGGACTCTTCATTCGTTAATGTCCTGGACAAGATGAGGATGAGGGCTTCTTTAAACTGGTCAAAGTGGACCTTTAAAAAAAAAAGGACAGAAGAAAACACAATGTTTTCAGCAAACTCAGTATGGACAAACCTTTGAAGTGCAATATGCACCCAGAGACATCACCTTGCCAGCAAAGAAATCACCTTGCAGAGACATCACCTTGCCAACAAAGGTCCGTATAGTTAAAGCTATGGTTTTCCCAGTAGTGATGTATGGAAGTGAGAGCTGGACCATCAAAGAAGGCTGATCGCCGAAGAATTGATGCTTTTGAATTCTGGTGCTGGAGGAGACTCTTGAGAGTCCCATGGACTGCAAGAAGATCCAACCTCTCCATTCTGAAGTAAATCAGCCCTGAGTGCTCACTGGAAGGACAGATCCCAAAGCTGAGGCTCCAAAACTTTGGCCACCTCATGAGAAGAGAAGACTCCCTGGAAAAGACCCTGATGTTGGGAAAGATGGAGGGCACAAGGAGAAGGGGATGACAGAGGACAAGATGGTTGGACAGTGTTCTCGAAGCTACCAGCATGAGTTTGACCAAACTGTGGGAGGCAGTGGAAGACAGGAGGGCCTGGCGTGCTCTGGTCCAGGGGGTCACGAAGAGGCGGACACGCCTAAACGCCTCAACAACAACATGCACCCAGATCTAGCAAAAAGAGCCTTGGCCTGACCTTCAAAGCATCTGTGGCCTTCTTCCCCATTACCTCCCCATGCTTATATCCCAATACTTCCCAGTTCCACCACCCTGAGCCAGCCAAAGGATGTCCACTGCAAAGGCACCACTGTGCCACACTGTCACAGAGCTCAAGCACTTCAGGGAGAACAGGACTCTCCTAGCAACTCTTAGCACCTGCAACAAACTACAGGTCCCAGGATTCTTTGGGAGAAGTCCCGACTGCTCAAAGTGGTATGATACTGCTTTAAATGGCTAATGCAGATGGGGGCCTGTTGTCTTTGTCCATGGAGCAGGAATACTGGAGTGGCTTGCCGGTTCCTGCTCCAGGTTGATCATGTTTGGTCAAAACTCTCCACTATGACCTGTCCATCTTGGGTGGCCCTGCACGGCAAAGCTCATAGCTTCTCTGAGTTATTCAAGTCCCTTTGCCACGGCAAGGCAGTGATCATAAAGAAGGCTGATCGCCGAAGAATTGATGCTTTTGAATTATGGTGCTGGAGGAGACGCTTGAGAGTCCCATGGACTGCAAGAAGATCAAACCTCTCCATTCTGAAGGAAATCAGCCCTGAGGGCTCACTGGAAGGACAGATCCTGAAGCCGAGGCTCCAATACTTTGGCCACCTCATGAGAAGAGAAGACTCCCTGGAAAAGACCCTGATGTTGGGAAAGGTGGAGGGCACAAGGAGAAGGGGATGACGGAGGACGAGATGGTGGGACAGTGTTCTCGAAGCTACCAGCATGAGTTTGACGAAACTGCGGGAGGCAGTGGAAGACAGGAGTGCCTGGCATGCTCTGGTCCATGGTGTCACGAAAAGTCGGACACGACTAAATGACTAAACAACAACAACAAGCAGATGGGGCCTAAACATATGCAACTACACCACTACTAGACCTTGCTCCCCTGGTTGCATCCGCCTCCCCTTCTTCCACTCTTTCATCTGCGTCAAATTTTGAATTGTAAGCTCATTGGGGCAGGCTTTTGCCCTCTCGTACTCTGTACAGCACGATGCATGCTGACTAAGTCGTCTAAAACAATGGTTTTCTTCTGTTCCAGATTTGCAGCTAAGATAGCCTCCTGCAGCTGAAACAAGTGAGGCTGCCTCCACATCAAACCTTTAAAGGACATTTTTCCCCCAAAGAATTCTGGACACTGTAGTTTAGCTCTCACAGTTCCCGCAGCCCATGTTCCCAAAGCCTCTAATTTCTTCACCTTCTCTCCCTCCCCTGCTTTAACTAACACCATTATTATTATTTTGCAAACCACGCTGTCCAGCTTAGAATTTCAGGTTCTGGAGGGGCGGAAAGCAAGACGGGTTGAAGCAACCTGAAATCCTCTTTACATTTTTACATTTTTTATGTGCTTTTTTCCAAGCACTTTCCTCCCCACCCCTCCCTGAGCTCCACTTCTTCTTCTTCAAAGAGTTATGAAAAGCTCTGCCCAGGCAAGCTCCAAGTTTATTCCGAATGAATGAATCACTTTGCTCGCTGGAGATTGCCAGCTCTAGCATAGCGGCAGCTGAAAGCTCTGCTGCCCTGTTGGGCCCCGGGGCGCTATGGAGACTGGTGCCCTAGCAATCTCTCCATGAACAACATGGAAACAACCATTGCAGGAATAAAATCATAGAACTGTAGAGCTGGCCTGATCCAGGGGACTCCTCTTATGTTCCTCTGGCTGGAGCAATCTGCAATGCCCCACAGTCACCAAGACAAATAATAATAATAATAATAATAATAATAATAATAATAATAATAATAATAATAATACAGTGGTACCTCGGGTTAAGTACTTAATTCGTTCTGGAGGTCCGTTCTTAACCTGAAACTATTCTTAACCTGAAGCACCACTTTAGCTAATGGGGCCTCCTGCTGCTGCCGTGCCGCCGGAGCACAATTTCTGTTCTTATCTTGAAGCAAAGTTCTTAACCTGAAGCATTATTTCTGGGTTAACGGAGTCTGTAACCTGAAGCGTATGTAACCCGAGATACCACTGTAATAATAATAATAATAATAATAATAATAATAATAATAATAATATTTATTTATACCCCACCCTCCCCGGCCAGAGCTGGGCTCAGGGCGGCTAACATCAGTAAAATTACAGTAAAAACATAAATGGGGGGGGGGGACCAATTTAAAATACAGATTAAAATGCAATTTAAAATGCAGCCTCATTTTAAAATAGCTGATAAATCAAAACCATAAGGGGAGGGAAAACATAAGGGTCGGACTGAGTCCAAACCAAAGGCCAGGCGGAACAGCTCTGTCTTGCAGGCCCTGCGGAAAGATGTCAAGTCCTGCAGGGCCCTGGTCTCTTGGGACAGAGACTATGTTTCCAGTCCTTCTGGTGGTTGTAAGATTAAGAGCAAGTGCCTGTGTTTTCCTTCTCCCTCCTAAACCCTTTTCCTTTGGTGCCATGTCTTTTAGATTATTCGCCCAATGGCAGCAAGTGTCTCATTACTGATATCTGTTATGCCTTCTGGAAGCCTCCCCCCTTTTTTGGTTAAGAGTGGAATAAAAATACTTGAAATAAATTACTAATCATCCGTTCATACTTTCACCCTTTTCCTCCTGAAATAATTAGATCTCGCTCCACTTGCATTGTAACTTGTTAAAAATGAAGCAGAATTCTGCACTTTCTCTGTTATGCTCCATAGACTAGATAGAGAGGCTAAATGGAATTGATTAACAGCAGATTCAGGGCAGACAAAAGGGAGCCCTTATTCACACAATGCAGAGTTAATTTATGGAATTTGCAGCACTGGAGGTCGCGGTCCTGGGCAGCTTTAAAAGGGGACTGGACAAGTTTATGGGATGGAGGGGGATGAGTTCTTGTCCATGGCGTCAAACAAAATTCATAGAGATGGAGAGGTCTGCTAATAGTGTCACATTAAATTAGCCCCCTAGAGTAGATTTTGGAGACGCCCAGGAATTAGGAATTATCCAGAAAGCTCAGCTTGGCTGCTGGAAGTGATTTAGTCCTGTAGAAAGCTGTACACGCTTTATGTAGGCAGTCCTGTTTAGGGATTGTTTGATGTTTGATGTTTTTAATGTCCGATGTTTTATCGTCTTTTTAATATTCTGCTGGGAGCTGCCCAGAGTGACTGGGGAAACCCAGCCAGATGGGTGGGGTATAAATAATAAATTATTATTATTATTATTATTATTATTATTATTATTATTATTATTGTCTTTGCATTCATTCTGGTAGGAAGGAATCTCCTTGCTGATACAAGATATCGTGAACTGACAAACTGATTAAACGCATGAGTTCCTAAGTGTTTCCCCAAACCATTCAAGATGTACAATAGGTCTATATACATTTTAAGCAAAATTGTATCTATTTTTCCGTGTATATATAATGTATATAGTAAGTGCAGTGTAAGCGATGGAAGTCAATCAATGAAATTTTATTATTGAGATGTTTGTAGAATAAATTTGGAAGAAATTCTTACAACTTTTCTTCTTTCAATTTTTCATCTTATTTTTTTCTTCTTCCTTTTTTCCTTTTTGTTCTTTTTTATATATGTGTGCTTATCTGAAATATATATGTATGTATGTATTTGTAGTATTTTGCTTGTATTTTGTTATAATTATGTTAAATTAAATTATATTATATTTAAAAACAACAACAAGATGTACAATAGGTCTTCAACATGAAAGCTTAATGCTGCAAAACAGGCCATTTTGACAAATGGGTTGATGGCAACAGGTTTTTTAAAAAACTTATGAAAAAATTCATTGGGAATAATAAATCTGGATTAAATTAGGCAGGGTGGGACTCTCCTTCCTTGGAGGTTTTTAAGCAGAGGTTGGATGGGCATCTGTCATGGATGCTTTAGCTAAGAGCCCAGATGCAACTGGGGGTCCCTTCCAACTCTAATATTCTATGATTCTATGATACAGGCTGGCATCTTGAAGCTAAGAATGGTCGTGTGGTTGCTGTGAAAAGCCCATATGCATGAAGAACCCAGACCTCACAATCAAAGCCCATTTGGAGGTACCCAAAGTTATATACAGTAATAGTAGTAATAATAATAATAATAATAATAATAATAATAATAATAATAATAATTTATTTATACCCCACCCTCCCTGACCAGAGCCAGGCTCAGGGCGGCTAACACCAATAAAATCACAGTAAAAACAAAATGGGGGGGGGACTAATATAAAATACAGGTTAAACTGGAATTTAAACCAAAGGCCAGGTGGAACAGCTCTGTCTTGCAGGCCCTGCGGAAAGATGTCAAGTCCCGCAGGGCCCTGGTCTCTTGGGACAGAGCGTTCCACCAAGTCGGGGCCAGTACTGAAAAGGCCCTGGCCCTAGTTGAGACCAATCTAACCACCTTGCAGCTTGGG